GGAATATGAAATATCAGACTCTGAGATTATGGAATTATCTCATCTCATCAAATGAAAGACATTTGCATAGTTTATATTTGCTTGGTTTACTGTCTGAATCCACATTTTTCTCCAAAAAAATAAATTTGAAAGATAAAAAAAAAGTGAGAGTTGTAGTATACCTATTTTAATTCTTTTTTTCTCTTGATTCTCATGATCAAGAGGACATTTTAGATATCTTTGAGTTTACTTTGGAAAAAAAATATTACCTTACTTAAGGGAGAATGTAAAATAAACTCTTTTTTCTCCCAGAACAGATAATGTAGTATTATTTTTAAATTACAACATCATTATAGGGAAATCTGATGGCCTAGTGGCAAGAAGCTTTATGACAATCCCTAAGGCACTGGTTTGAGGCCACCAGCTGCTCTGCAGGAAAAGGATAGGTGACATCCTCTCATGTGAGGATCAGCTATGGGTCGGTTCCGACTCAACAGTGTCCAACAACAACAATATCAGTAATTATGACAATTTTATGAATGGAACAATATATATTCTATGGAAGGAATATGTTGTTGTTATGTGCCATCGAGTTGCCTACAACTCATAGTGATGCTATGTACAAGAGCACTAAAACCTGCTCTATCCTGTGCCAATCTTACTGTTTCTGATGCCTCTACCCCCATTACCCCAGTCACTGAATTAATCCATTTCATCAAGGGTCTTCCTCTCCTGTGCTGTCCCTCCACCCTCCTAAGCAAGACATCCCTCTCCAAGGATTGGTCCCTCCTTCCAACATGTCCCAAGTATGTCAGATAAAGCTTCAGAATCCTTGCCTCTAAGGGGTAGCCTGGTTTAATCCTCTCTAGGATGAACCTGTTTGTTTTCTTAGCAGTCGATGATATATTCAATACTCTTCTCCAGCACCACAGCTCAAAGGCATTAATTCTCCTTCTATCCTCCCTAGTCAACGTCCAGCTCTCTGACACACGGCAGGTGATTGGCAAGACCATGGCCTGTATCAGATGCACCTTAGTCTCCAGAGACACACCATTGTTCTTCAGTACTTTGGAGAGGTCCCTCACAGCAGACTTTCCCATCACAATACATCTTTTAATTCCCTGGCTCCTGGTGCCAAGAGTGTTGATTGTGGAGCCAAGCAAACTAAAGCTGTGAACAATGACAATCTCCTCATCATCCATCATGATGCTGCCAATTGGCCCAGTGATGAGAATCTTTGTTTTCTTGATATTGAGCCTCAATCCAAACTGAATGCTGTAGTTTCTGACCTTCTGCAGCAAGCGCTTCAGGTCCTCCTCAGTTTCAGCAAGCAGGGTTGTGCCATCTGCATAACGCAAATTTTGATAAGTCTTCTCCAATCCTGATGCCACATTTCTCCTCATATAGCCCAGCCTCCTGGATAATCTGTACTTCATAAAGATTGAAAAGGTATGGAGATACGACACATCCCTGGCATACACCCTTCCTCATTTTGAACCATACAGTGTACTCTTACTTTGTTCTGACACTGCCTCGTGGTCTAAATACAGGTTTTGCATTAGCATGATAAGTGTTCTGGGATTCCCATTCTTCTCAGAGTCAGCCACAGTTTGTTGTGATCCATACAGTCAAACGCCTTTGCATAATCAATGAAACACAGATAGACATTCCTCTGGTACTCTCTGTTTTCAGCCAAGATCCATCTAACATTAGCTACAATATCCCTAGTACCACGAATCTTTCTAAAGTCAGCCTGCACTTCTGGCAGTTCTCTGTTGATATGTTGTTCCAGTCATTTTTGGAAAATCTTCAGCAAAATTTCGCTTACATGTAATATTAATGATGCTGTTCAATAATTTCCACACTATATTGGATCACCTTTCTTTGGAATGGGAACAAATATAGATTTCTTTCAGTCAGTTAGCCAAGTGGTTGTCCACCAGATTTCTTGACATAACTTGGTGAGCACATATAGGGCAACATCTGTTAGTTGAAATATGTCAATTGGTACATCATTAATTCCTATGGGCTTTTTTTTTGCCAATTCTTTCAAAAAAGTTTCAACTTCTTCCATATAATCTCATTTTTTTCCTTTGTAAAACCAAATGATTGTAGTATATTTATTCCTGTAAGTGTTTCTGTTTTAGTGTGACTCATACTGGTTTACATATAAATGTAGATGAGTTTCTTAAGTGTTTTAAATTTTAGGGTTTTAGGGGATTTTTTTAAATGTATCATATACCAATATGACAGAATCAAACATTCAGGCATAAAATTAGGCTTTGGGAGAAACTAAGTAAACAGATTTGTAGGCATCCTAATCAAAGATGAAAATTCAACCATAATAGATGATTACCTCATAGTGGCTTAGTGTAGAGGTATCTGAGTTGCTAACCCAAAGACCGTTTCTCTCTGGAAGTTTGAATCTACCAATAACTCTTCAGAAGAAAGTTAGACAATCTCCTCTATGTGTGATTTATAGCTTTGGAAACTCTATGGAGTTTCAGTCATGAGTTCATTCCAACTGAATCACAGTGATTTTGAATCTGAGTTTATATGACTTATCTATTCTTAACGTCACATATATGTTCTCTAAACAAATGAATTCCCTATTCACAAAGGTAATGATTATAGAGACCTCCGGTGGCTTCATAATTAGGAGTTGTGCTGTCAGATCAAATTCATATGGTTCAAATCCACCAGTTTTTCTGTAGGAAGAAAATAGTTGTTCCTATACGACTGCATTAATCAGTTGATTTCAATATTTACTGTATTTTGTCATTATTCTTTGCTTGGCACAGAAAATGACTAGAGCATTTTTCAAAGCATAGACATGGCAGACGCTTCATCAATTTTATATAAAAATTGGATCATTTAGATTATTTCTATGAGATCATCTCATTAAAGTGGCAATCTATTTAAGGGATTTTTATCAATTGGATAGTTGATGGGCCAGTTTAAAGAAGTGGAAAAGTAAATCCACCAAAACTCAGTATCATAGTAGCATATAAATCTTTAAGACTTACAAACTCATGATTCCTGTTGCTTAGGTGTGTGTTTTTTTTCAAGAATACTTATTTTTTTTAAAAAAAGAATCATAAATAGTTATAATGAAAGCATAGTGTCAGATTGAATTTAAGCCATGAAACAATTCTTAAATCAAAAGTAAATGGATGTTTTCTTCCTCTTACCATAGATTGTTCCCACTCACTTTGAAAATTTTCCAGTCTGGAGCTTTAAGAATCCCGTAAATTGAGAGCATTCCATAACCCACTATTCTGCATGTGTTCGGAGGTCTGAAGATGTCCTGGTCTGGAAGACCATGTGCCATTACTCAGTCATTATTTCCTATGTTTCCCTTTAAGCCATCTTCAGCTTGAAACCCAATTTTTGAGACAAAGGACACAGATTCTAACATCTCTGTTCCTCTCCCCACTTCTTAAATCTCCCTGATGAAACACCTTGCAATTTTCTATAACATGAACCCAGCACTCTGAACAGCTGATTGAAACATAATGCTTCCCAGACTACTACCTGAGCTGCATATAAAAGACAACAACCCCAAAATACCAAGCCAATTTGATCTCTGTTTTAAGGATAGTGAGGAATGCAGACCGTTATAATTCTTCAATGCAATGGACTTTTTGTAGAATAATCTTCCAATTAGCACTCAAATACATACAGATGTTCAGAGTGTGAGTGAGAACAGGGGACCCTATCAGGTCTGCGTCTGGCAGGACATCTGAGAGCCTGTGGCTGAGCATCAAGCAAGGACAAGGGTCTTCGGATAGGAAGGAAGAGAGACCACATCCCCATGGAAAAGAAGCCATAGCAGCCACTGTTTCTCGCTGGTAAAGGAAGGTGGCAGGCTATGACAGTAAAAGGGGACGTTCCTTACATGTAGGCTTGAGTCTATCTCTGTACCAAAGAGTCTTTTGGTATTGGTGTTGTGTGTATGTCTGTGTGTGTATGGAAGGTGTCTTTGGGAGTTCCAATGAATTTAGGAGTCTGGCCTTTCTCCAATCCCCGCGCCTTCACTCCCTAGCTCCCCTAGTTCATGTAGAAAAAAGTTTTACACGAAATGAGCCCAGCGTTGACGTAGGCATTGCCTCCCCTCTTGGTTGGATAGAAGCCCAAAAGGGAGCAAGCAGAGGGGAGGGAGGGAGGATACAGAGGGATGGATGGATTCCCGAGGTTAGGGTCCTGGGGCGGGGCCTGTTGACAGTCAGCCAAGAGTATTGATTCCGGATCCACACATACATCAAGCTCTTCCTTCCTCTAACAATGATCTAAATCCCAATGAGGTCACTGAAATGAGAGAGAATCAGATCAAGAGAGAGGGGGAGGACGAGGAAGACGACAAAGGAGAAGGAACTCAGACGCAAAGAGACCTTCAGACAAGGTGGCCTTTTGTGGCGACACAGCAACTGCCAGGAGTGTGGTGCAGGGTATCAACCTGCAGCTCTGCGTGAGCGTCGCGGAGACCCGCAGGAATACTTTGTGTTACCAGGCAAACAAAGGCGAGGAGGCTGAAGGGAGCTGGAGAGAGGAGCGGTGAGGAGTTGCTCTCGGATCACGGGGAGGCAGAGCTCACCTTGTGCGCCTGGATCCGGAGGGAGCCCGAAGGCGCGGAGGCTAAGGCAGGCGGGCTGCCCTGCAGAGCCGTGGGACGCGGCAGAACTCTGGACAGCGCCTCGCGTCAGGCTCGGGCTCCGGGGCAGCTCCAGGCTTTCTGCTCCTGGCAAAGCCCTGCTCCGGTGGTGTGCTCCCTTCACTCCACCACCTACTGAAGCCGGGCGCATTCTTCTGCCAGCCCTGTCCAGACGTGCCGAGGCTGGAGCAGCACTTTTGTCTCTGACAGAGGGGTCTCTGGAAATTGTGTCCTGTCCATAACGTTTGACTGGTGAAGAAAGAAAAGTTTCGGGGTCTGGTAGGGGGCAGAAGGGGTAAGATTAGGGGAAGAAAGAAGGCGGATGGTGGGCTTCCCTGTCTGATCTGGAAGGAATGATGACGGAGGAAGGATGTGCACCAGCGGCCAGATCATTGGGAGCCTGTTGGTGCTCTCTGTGCTGGAGATAGGGCTGGGGGTGTCCAGCGTGGCCGTGGGAGCGGTCAGCTTCAGCCTGGCCCTCCGAGAACACAAGCCGCAGCTCGGAGACTCGTCCCCGGTATGGAGCGGGGTGTGTGTACGTTGAGCCATTTCACTCTCTCTTTACCTTCTTAAAGTGAGGGTCAGTATGCGTGTGTTAGTCACTCCCTCCCTGGGGAAGAAAATTTTAAACCTCCTCTGGCTTGCTTGTAGGTTCCTGTTAGCAAGCGATGCCTCTTTCTTTCGTGCTTTATTGCTTGTCTTTTTATGATTACCTGGGCTTAAGTCTGAATTAAATGGCATTTTTTTTTAAGTTGAAGTGGGAGTGTAGGAGGCAGTTTCTAAGGGCTGACTTTGTAAAGGACTGACCTGTGGTGCTGATGGGGCGGTCAAACCAGTTTAGAACAGACTCATTTAGTTTCTTCTTTCTTTTAAAAATAAAATCCGAAGGAGTGTGCTAAAATGTTTTGGGTTTGGTTGGCTTTGGGTTGGCTTTGTTTGCTTTATCTCCAGGAATGAGCTGGGGTTGAGTTGTGCTTTTTTCTCCATGTAACAGAGCCCAAAGTGCGCTAAAGGTAACATTTGTAAACCAAAAATAGAAGTTTAGCGTGTGGTGGAAGGAGAATGTTGACACGCTTCATTCATCCTTTGTGCTGGAGGCACAGTAACACTGCTCTTAGATGTTTTGTTTTCTTGCTAGTTTTCTGTTACTTCAGAGCTGAAAATTCTTCCATAAATGCCTGGCAATAAGCAAATCAACCAATAGCATGATGTGTACAACAATCTAATTGGAGAATAACTCAGCCTTAAGTGTACCCAACTGTTCTGGTAACATTTGACAGTTTTCTTTAGGCCAAATAGCAGAGCTACCAAGCCTCACTTTGGGTGAATCTTGTTCATTTAGGATGAATCATGAGGAGAGAGTTAAAGGTCCACTCATTTGACCAAAAAACAATACGATAACTCAGCACTTTTGTATTGTACCAATACAATAAATATGAGCCTAATTGTGAAAAACAGCATCTACTTCTAGTCTTAGTCATACAGCTTCTGTATCGTTCAGTGTGTCTAGTTTAATTCTGCTTTTGGATAATTTAATAGGATGCCATTCTATATAACTAATAATCCAGAGGTATTATAGCAGTCATGGTTTCCAGAGATGAGCAATGACTAAGATATTGGTTCCTTAAGTTTCAAGAAAACCATTCTAAAGCATGGGATTTTGAGTGATGCTCTATCACTCTTAGAAGTGATAAAATTGTCCTTTGGAGAATTAATTTTTATATATGTTAGTTGTTCAAAGTGAGGTAAAGGTTTATAAATTGCAGAAGTTGAAAAGAAAACTGGTATTGGGTTCTAAAACTGAGTTAGTCTAAGAATGTTTGTTCTCAATTTAAAAATCAGTTACCATTATTCGTCTCCAAATAACTACCTTTTTCACTAATAAAATGTCTTTATCAATGCAAATATTAAATTTCAATATGAAAATTATAAAAGACATATCTTTTATTTGGTAGTTCTATATCTTATATGCAGTAGTGGTTATTTTCAAAGAGTTGGCTATTATTATAGATGATGTTGCTGTTGTTATGCAAACAAGACGTTATTATTCTAACTTATAAAAGCTGATGTTGCTGCTCTTATTACTACAAAAATTAAAAAAATTAATTTTCAAATCACTATTAGATAACTGTGAAAATTTAATGTGAAGGTTGTCTAGGAGGGAGAAACTTAAATCTTCTCGAAGGATTTTCCCTTTGAAATTCAGGAAATTGAATAAACTTATCTCTAAATAATTTTAGAGTCTAATTTATGTTTAAGAATAATAAAAAATAGTTATAATACTTTGATGCTGTATAAAAAAGATAAACTCAAACCTTATCTTCAAAGACTGTTCAGTATTATGTGATTAGTTTACAAATGTGTATGTAGAGGGAAAGAAACTTTAATCAATAATTGAAAAACATATTAACAGTCATATATATGGAGTTGTTGTTATAAATTATTGTTTTTATTATTAACTGTTTAGAGTACCCAAATTCAACAACTTCCGTAATAATAGCTGTGGATACTATCATCTTATTCAATAAAGTGAAATAATAAATCTGATTGAGTGAATGGATTTGAAACTAGAATACCCAGTAGAGTCTGTCATTTTTTATAAACTCAAATTTAAGAATTTAGATTTTGAAATAAAGAATGTCTAGTTGGAAAAATTTTATTTAACAAATTATAGACTGGTGAAGTACGTTTTTTTAAAACTTTGGGTGTTTATTTTTAAAATTCACTGAGTCATTTTCCAATTCTTTAAATGATGAATCTATATGACCAATATTTATAGAAGGCTTTACCATGTGTGAGGCACTTCACTTTACTATTTACTATAAAAGAGCACACAAGATGAATCATAACACTGTCCTTAGAAAGGAGACAAAGGAGAGTGTGTATATACTAAATGTATTTGAGGTGAAAAATTAAGAGTAATATAATTCCACAAAGAATATGGCACAAATAAAGGGAAAATATATTTTAGTGATTAATTAAATATATATAGAAGTACTACTTTTATCATGCTCTTGAAAGAGAATTAAAACTTGAAATTAATGTGGTACAGTCTTAATGGATATATCATAGTGTGGAGTCTAGAGTCAGACTACCCAAATACAAATCCCAGTTCTATCACTTACTAGCTAGATGCCTAGCCAGCTTCTTTATTTCAAAACTAGAAATAATAACATCTGGCTATTAGCATTGCTCTTGGGAATTCTGGTGGCCTAGTGACAAGAAGCTGTGCTGCAATTCTGAAGACATGTGGTTCAAGGCCACCAGCTACTGTGGGGGAGAAGAATGGCCAATTCCTTCCCATGCGATTAACTGCCTCTGAAAATCTGCCTGAGGTGTTTCAGCTATGGTTCAGGTCTGCTCCAACTTTTCTGTACACAACAACAGCATTGTTAGGGAGCTCTGGTGGCCTGGTGGTTAGGCATTGCACTGCCAACCCAAAGGCACAAGGTTCAAGTCCACCAGCTGCTCTACAGGAAAACTGGGCAGTCTCCTCCAGTGATATTTACTGCATCTGAAAACCTACCGGAGGGTCGACTGTGAGTCAATCCCAACTCGATAGTGCACAACAGTGTTAGCATTGTTAGAAGATTCAAATGAGATAATGCTCTTCCTAAAACTCATGACACTCCAAGGAGATTAAATAAAAACTAGATAAAATCATGACTCTGGTAATTTATTAATTTAAAATCTGCATTATTTATTCACATGTGATGTTATTTTATAATAGTCAACTTGTCGAGAAAACTATCTTTTATAACCAGAGTTTGAGTCTATCAGTGCCGTGATGTTATTGTGATGTTATTAGCACTACTGTGAATATATTAAATAAATATTATAATTCAATGAAAATAAAATAGGTATTGGAAGAGATTATTTCTTATTTGTTGACCTTAAAATCATGAGCTTTTTATCAAGGAAAAGTGCTCCAAAGGTTCAATCCACTACTTTGATAATGTGATCTCAAACATACACACATCATGTAAGAATTGCTGCAAGTAGTAGAAAGATAGCTTAAAATTTATAAAGCAGATTATTACATAAATTATTTTAACCACTATTTCATAATTTGGAATAGAGTCACTTCTATAGTAAGCCTTAAAAATGTGATAATTTACAAGGAAAAATTGTTACTGAATTCTAATCTAAAAGAGAAAGAACTTACAATGTTTTTGTGATCCCAAAACATTATAGCAGATATAACCACCTATTTTAAAAGCCCAACTGTTAGCGAGCAATAAAGGAACTACTATGTAAGCTGCTTTGGAAAAAATAATCACACCAAAACAAATTCTTTGCCCTCAACTTGACTTTAACTCAAAGACCATTTAGAACAGCGCAGTAGCACCCCATAGGGTTTCCAAACTTAATAGAACAGAGAACAACTGTCCCACAGGCACCGAAGACTATAATATTTATGAAAACAGACTATCATAGCCTTACCTTACAGAACAGCCAATGGGTTCCAATTGTCAGCCACTGTGCCACTAGGACTCCTTGAAAGAGGTATGGCCATGTAAAATATTATGAGTGTAGAAGACTTAATGACTCTATAGACAGCTACAAAGAGAGAGCTGTACTTTCAAGTTGTTATGTGATCTTGTTGTTCTTTTTACTATTATTGTGTACCATAGAGTTGGAACAAAACCATAGCTGATCCTCTGGCAGGTTTTCAGAGGCAGTTAATCACACGGGAGGGGATTTCTCATCTTTCTCCCACAGAGCAGCTGGTGGCCTCAAACCACATACCTTCTGCATTGTAGTGCAACTTCTTGCCATTACACCACCAGAGCTCCTAAGTGGTCTTAGGAAAGTGACTTGACTTAGCCCCAGTGCCTCACTTGGAATATTAATGGACTAGATTTAGTAAGATGCCTTTTTCTGGGTCCTGGAGAATCTCCTGTTATTGTTCTTGTTTGGCACCTGAGAATCTAGATTCAGATGCTAGTAGCCAGGACAATATGCTGAGTTGCATTTGCTACACAAGTTTCAACTCCATCCATTATATTTGATGGGCAACCTCATTCTGTGTGATTTACAGTCTCTGAAAAACCACTGGAAGGTGTGTGATGAGTTGAATGACACATAACAAATGTTTGATAATTATTTTACAAGTTAATTTTCATATAAGAATTCTTATTTGCTCCAAATGTAAATCACAAGGTAGTCTTCTAGAATAGTAAAGATTTCCACATATAATCATAAAATGTCTGAGAGATTTTATTAATTATTCTTCCAGACAATAATTATTTTATATAACTTTTATCTGCTTACTTAATGTGTCATTTATGACATAATCAAGACACATGCTCTGTGAACACCTGATTCACCATGGAAATTATGTGACCAATCCAGAGTGTTCTTAAATTCACTCTTATTCTCACCGTAGCAACACAAATGGGAACTTCTCCAAAGTATTGTTTCACATTTACATCTGTTGAATGTATTTAATTAAATATATACAAACATACCAAAAAAGTGAAAAAAGTTCCACAGTTACACCAAGTGAACGTAGTT